TCCGGCGACCCCCCATCACACACCTCTTTATAGTGTTCCAGAAAACACAACTTACACGGGGAAATGAGAATGTGGACAATGAGGAGGACAACATGGAACACAAACACACAAACAGGCCTGGAGCACATCTTCCATTTAAAGGTGAATTAGAACGTGACATTTCTTGTTATAACCAGATACTTGAACACAAAACTCTCATGCGGTTTGAACCACATCATTTGAGTGACAAGCGTCAGCCAAGCAAAAGTAATCACGTGTTAATGATTTAAGTGGTCCGAAATAGGCCGATTTCACGCAGAACATTCGGGGAATGTCTTAATCTCACCTTTAACCCCCAACTGCTAATCCCTCAGAAATAGCTACTGCTCCTGGACACGGTGTCTATTTGCTGCACATTACCACCCATTAGTCAAGGCTGATTAGCGGCAGCGCCGGGCGGCGTGTCCGCCGAAACACCGAGCCGCGGCTCAGAGGCATTTTCCTGTTTCCTGGCGTCTCGCGTTAAAAGCAGCAGTTAATCGCAGCAGGAGACCAGCCAGACCCCAACCTTCAATCCGTGACATCCAGCAAATATTTAGAATATTTAAAACCTACCCAGACATCCCATCTGTGTTTATAAATGACTGTTGGCTCTTTTACTCCTCGTCCTGTTCCCGTTGGGACTCACTATGTTTACCCATCAGTGAGCCATCGGCCAGTAACGTGAACTGTCGTCCAGTGAGAGGACGCATGCGAGCGGCACGGGAGCCGAGTTCATGGAGGGAGAAGTCAAGGAGTCGCTCCACAGCTGCTTCCTTGTCTTGGGCAACTGACGGCGGTGAAATGTTCCGGTGAAAGATTGTTGTGCTCTCAGAAGCAACGAAAAGCGTCCCCGCGTCGGCCCCCGGGGGCCCCGAGTGTTCACAGTCACTGCCATGGACGACGGGGAGAAAATAGTAGCAAACGAAGGAGGGAATGTTTTTGTTTAATCAACTTTGACCAAATGACTGCGGCCGAAGCTGAACTCCAGCGACGTGGAGGCCTCAAAGTCCCACATCGCACAGACAACACTCGCTCAGGAGTAATGCCTGGTTCATAGGGGGGGACGGGGGACGGATAAGAGACCAACATCATTTATCACTCCTATGAGCACCTGATGCATGATGGGGGGGCGTGTAGATCTACAGTATACGTACGTTGTCTTATTCAAAACAAAGTCAAGCAGTTTATACTAGAAGGCCACGGAAAAGACAGATGTTGAGCTGCTTATTGTTATTAGAACAAATATACACATTCATTAACAAATATATATATATTGTATATATATATTTTTTTAGTTAAAGTAGCAACAATAAAACGAGATCGCTACATCTTACCATGTTTTTGAGCTTGACACGGAGAAGGGCGAGGTGGGGGGCGAGGTGGGGGGCGAGGTGGAATTTCGTATCGTGATATTTGGTCTCTGAAGAGCTTTTGCCACTTATTGAAAGAGAGGAAGATTAATGAGAAGCCAAACATCAGCTTGCATGCACACGCATGCACAGAAATGCAGTCAACACTCCCTCTTGGACTTTGTGATCATGAGTCTACTTTCACTATGAGAACATTAATCTAGGACTTTATTTTACATTCAGCACTTTGACCGTAATGTCTTGATTTCATTTTGGTGAATGAACGAGTGAGTCAGTGTCGATCTTTGATTCAATCTTTGAATTCCACCTTCTTTCAAATCAGCGTCCACACCTGTGATTTGTGGTTGATCACGAGTCGGATCGCTCTGCCAATTTTCCCTTTGGGATTTTCTAACATGGCTGAGCCTGTTCCAAAGCACGTCTCGTATCCAACGCAGGTTCATCTGATCTGCAGTAATTCCCCCAAAACGCCCAAACAAAGCAACAGAAGTACCTCCAACTGAAATGTATTTAAAGTGCTTCACACCACAGCTGACAGGTGGCATTTAAAGTTTCTTACATTTACACAACTTGGGTTCAAACCCACATTCACACAAGAGCCTTTCTACAGGGGGAACGATTAAATGTCCCAATGTGTTCGGGGCTGAATTAACAGCTGAAGGGGTCATCTGAGAAGATTGATCCACTGTGTGGAGCTAAAACAGAGGACGGCACGTAACCCGAAACCCCCCCCTGCGGATTAAACAAGATATAGGGTGTTAATTAATGCGCTTAAGGGTTCACAGGTTTGCACTTTGCACTGAGTACAGGCCACAAAAGAAAGGGCGAGCAGGCCGGGAGCACGAGTGCAACGCGTTTGCACAAGAAGAGGAGTGAGAGCGTGAGCGGCGATGCTGCGGTAATGAGCGTAAGCTGGTCTGCAGCCACGTGAGGGAAACGCTTCACAGATGTTTCAGGGATGCTGTTGCCGATTACGCAAATCTGCTGTAAAAGTGTTTCCTTCTGCGTTGCAGAAAGAGGACGTCCTCCCCGCACCCTTCATTCAGAAAAGCACGCACTCGAATGGGGCGACGCTAATGACGCCTCATCCCTTCTCCATCACGCTCTCCTCCATCCCGTTTATCCTCCTTAATTCTCCCCCTTCAATTAGTCTCTCTTCCACTGATCCCCCTTTAGACCGACCCCCCCCCTCTGGTTCCTGCCTCATGACTCAAGGGGAATTTCTTTTCTTTTTTTCCCCGTGTCACAATCAGTCATAAACGTGGGTAAATATAGAGCGGAAGCCTTTAAGACGTAGTACGTGTGAGAGAGCACATATCACGCCTGACCTCATGTGGGGTTGGTTTCTGCCAAGTCGTGATCCGAGGATTTACACGTCAGCGGCGTAAATGACCTGCCAGAGTGCACGTCGCCTGTCGCAGGTGCAATCACACCTGATCTACCTTTCTAACGCCGTCCTTCTGCTCGCTTTGTTTCTGCATCTGTTTGCATCCTTCAAACGTTCGTCCAGTTTCTCCTCTGTGGAGACGTTCCAGCAGTTCTTTGTCTGTCTGGATTTGGATTTTCACACACTAACAATCTGAAAGCAGGGGATGCATATTGATGTGCAAAACGGACTTGTGTTGGAGAACAACAGTTATGGAGAATTAAATATTTCAATTTTTTTTTTAAATCTAACATTTTTTGACCTCATTTTATATTTTTTTTGACTTTTTTTTCTTCTTTCTTCTGATATCGTTTCAAACAACTATCCTGATTTGATCGGGCGCTTATTCAGATCCCCGTTGGCTGAGGAACGACGGGCCCCAGATTAAGGGCCAAAGACAGGCGGGGAACCGTGCACAATATAATAATGCACAAATGCATCTTTTCACGCCAGAAATCGACCCTTTGATTTTAGCATTTTCACATCAGAGGCGTATTTTGAGTCAAATGCTGAGTTCATTTGATGTCACACGCAGATCCTTATCCAAGACTCTTCAGATTAAATTGGTTTTACGTACGTTGATCTCTTACTGCTCTCGTGCTTTTGAGGTTGCTCGTCGTTTTTGAAAAGCGCTGCGTCATTGGCTGACGGCTCGTGACTGATTACGTTCAACTTTACCCGTATAGACACAGAGACGGTGATGAATCATGAGTCACCTCGTCCGCCCTCTACCAATCTACCGCACGTCGCTCCGAATGGAAGTGGAGTGATAACTCGTGATGAATTGCGATTGAAGGGAAAATCGAGTGGCCGCTACACGCAGTCACACGTGCAGGTCGACACGCTGCCGGTCACTGATGATCGAACGTCTGATTCCACGATGGCGCCTGGCTCGTCCCCCTGAAGGGTCACACTGTGTCATTAAGGTCACACGTGAGAGGGATTAACGAACTTCTTAAGTTTCCCACATGACCTTTGTTTGAAGGATCCGTTAGAAGTAAAGATCCTTCGGGGGTTTCGCTTGGAACGAAGCGGCTTGTCGCTGGATTCATTTGAACCGCAGAGGAACTTCCTCAAACCTCCAAACCCACGTTCAATCAACTCCGTCCATCGGACCGGACGGGCCGCTGGTTTTACCCGCCGGCTTCTGGGTCCCTGCTGAATAACAGATTAGACGGTTTACGACATTCTTCGGGGGGGTTTTCGCCCAGCGAAGGGGGCCCCACAATTTACGGGGATTATGCGGTGTGCTTTACATGTGGGTATGCACGTAAAGAGCGTGAGTCAGAGGGAGCACAGCCGAGCATTAGCGCCGCGCAGGAGCTGATCCAGCGGCGATAAAAACGATCCTAAAACCTCATTCGAACGGGTCACATTTGGTCCCGGAGGCCGAGAGCTCCGCGACGCAGCGTCAGCGATGCCCGTTTGCTCAAACTGCCCTTTGTTGCCCCAGATGGACTGAAGGGGAACGGGTGACGCGATAATCCGGTAAAGCAAGAGTTTGTTTTCACTCACAAGTATTTGGTCAGAGGAAGGCGTCGGGGAAGAGATGGTCGTCGGGGTTACGCCAGGACGTTTGAGCGGAACAAGCGTTCTTGGTACTTAACTGGCGTTAAGAGGGTCAATGGCGTAAAGGATGTTTGCTAAAATACGTCAATGAAGGCTTTGTTTCACACGGGGGTCCGAGGTGAAGCAACCAGTTGGTCCAGATCTGCTTCCTTTGGTTTTGATTGAAAGGAATCACGTGTTATTGGCAGCAGCACAGAAGGCCGGAAACAACCAAACCGCGTTCTTACCTTCTAACGTCGCCCGCCGCCACATCTCCCGCAGTGAGCACGCAGTAACGGGATGTCAAATGAAGGCTCATCTAAGAATAGATCCGACCTTCCTACGAGGGGAGCAGGTGCTCCTGGACGTAAGAGGAACAAATAAAAAGTCGAACTCGCTTTCGTGTATTTTTCTTCGTTTTAGCAGACGTTTGCTTTGGCAAATATCGTTTCCTCCAGCGCTCCTGAGTTGGGATCACAGTTAGATTTGTCAGATGGAATCACTGCACGCTTCTTCTTACGTGTGCTGTTCTCTCTGTTCTTTCTATTTCCGTTGAGCTTTCACTCCGCTGGGATTTCTTACCACAGTCTGAGCATCAGTTTGAGTCAAAACCTCCAAAACATCCACAACACGGCAAGCGTTTCCTTATTTTATATAAAAACAATATAATTTGAAAATAAATATGCTTTACTGTTTTACATAGACAGAAAACATGTTAATAGTAGAGTGACAAAGATAACTTATAATGAGTGGATAACTGATGACGCCGACTGGAATCCAGATGTTTTAAAAGGTGTCATGGTGGAAGTGCGGAGCGCTGCAGTGAAGTTTGTTCTCGCGGAACGGACTTAAAAACAGGCCCGCCGCTTTCTTGGAACACAACTTCCTGATACCTCCGCACAGATGTGTGCATTAACACACACACTCACACACACACACACACAGCATGTTCAAAACCCTACACAGCGCCCACTGCCCCCACACGAGGGGGAAACGTCACCGGTGCACCAGGACAAATGATCCAAATGATTTAGGGAATGTTAACAAATAGTCATTTGACGTCATTTTTTAGTTGGTTGTGAAGAGAAGCACAGAGACGCTCCGTGCTGAGGAGCCGTCAGTGACCTTATACATGGTGGGGAGGGAGGACATAACACTGCATATATAAATAAACCAAATTAAATATGGGTAGAAGGATGAATACTGCAAAATACTCTATAACATTATAAATTATCTAAAATGGACTATGGCATAAAGGGATATTAAGTATGTACAAGTACAGAGATGAACATACGTACAAGTTGGACAACTAACAAAACTACTTTGAAAATCCCCTCTCCTGAAAAGGAAAACAAACAAATAATTTAAAAAGCACTCGAAAGATTTCTCAGTACACATTGTGAGGCACAGTTTTTCAAATGGAATCAAACTACAGTATCGGATGTTCTCAGTGGTTTTCCTGCGGGGCAGTGAAGCAGCTCTGCTGTCGACCAGGATCCCTTTAAAAGCATCTGTTCTCGCGCAGGCGGACGGCGGCGTCCACACCGTGAGCGTTCGTGTCAGTCCTGCACCGTCCCGGAAAAGACAGGTTCCTCTGTCCCCCGTTGTCCCGCCGTCGATACTCCAAAAGCAAGAGCAGAAATCGCCCGAGGAGAATCCGTCCGTCCGTCCAACGTCGTCCTCCACAGTTAAATATATCTCACGTGGGGAGATTCTGCCATTTTACGACTGACACACAATCACAGTAGAGACTCCAGATATCCAGTGAAGTAATTGTATACGATGAATTCACAAGAAGACTACATCTGCATCACAAGCCTGTTAGAAATGCAAAACCACGAGCTATTTTCCTTTTGTCAAATGATGGGTTTAGTTATTTGTGTTTGTAGCAGCATAACAATTCTGTACTCATTTTTTTCTTATATCATGGTCTATTTACACACAGATACACAGTGGGAGGAAACTTCAGTTCAGTCTCAGTGTTCTCTCTCACGACAGTCCGAGGGGAATGCTTTCCACAGAAAAGAAGAGCTTACGGTTCAAAGGTCAAAGTGCTGTGCTGTGAAATATCTCTAATATTCCTTCATCTTGTACATCTGGTGCTGCCACCTCGCTCATCTCCTCGGCTTGTCACATCTAAACACGAGGGAAAGAGCAGTTAGCTTTAAAAAGTCTTTTGCTTCCGTGTCAATTCACCCTTGTTACATGCAAACTTACACAATCTAGATGGGCTCAGGCTGCAAAAATAGGAAACTTTCTTAAGTTTAGTTAGAAAAAGATTGTTGTTTCGGTTAAAATAACTCCAGAAGTGATGTTACTTAACTACGCAAAATATGTGAAGAACAAATAAACTTCTGGTTCTCACGGGGGGAACTCGGCGGCGGCCCCCCCCGGCCCCCCGGCCCCCCCCCCTGTGCTCCTATTCTTTCAAAGCAGAACTCACTTGCAGGTCTTCTCGTTGAGCTCCAGCTGGCGTTCTTTACAGAAGGCGTCCGTGTGCTTGCAGGAGCACCGGCAGCTGGCTGGATCTTGCAGGAACAGGCGCCTCCTCCTCTCCGAGCAGTGATCGCAACACGGCGCGCAGACGCTGGACAGGAGGGGGGGAGGGAGGGAGGGAGGGAGGGAGGGGGGGGAGAGAGAGAGAGAGGGGACGGTTATCACACGGTGCTCCACCAGCGCCCGTAAAGGACGCTCGGCCCTTTGCTCGCTCCGGTTGGCTCTTCCTCGGCCGCCCGACAAGGTGGCGGTTGCGTATTATTGCACACGGGCTCCCACAGAGCAGGCAACCCCCCCCCCCCCCCACCGCCATCCATCGGACCACTGGAACGAATGCCTCGGGTCCGACATGCAGCGAGCGAAGCTCTGGATTGGTCCGTGCAGCACAGAGCGTAGAACTCTGGGTAAAGAAGACTCAGGGGTCCTGCTCGGTGCTCCGTTAGCAAACATTTCACTTTATTGAATGAGAAGTGCAGACGGTTCTTAGAACATGTGCTGAGGATCCACAGGTGAAGATACACATCTCAAGGTACAAGTTACAAGTGAACACACAGGCGCACATCGTTTCACAGTGAGAGCGCAGAGGAAACATGAGATCGTGTGTAATATTATCCAGGAATAAAATACGGGTGAAAAAAAAAAAGCAGGCAAAGAAACAAAACAGTACAATTTGTTTACATGTCGCCCTGATTTAAAGAGGAAGGAGAAGACGGCGTTGATAGCCATCACTCAGATCCTTACACCACATAAAGAGCACCAGCATTCTTCACATGAGGACGAAAAGGAACAAAGGAGCAGGGGAGACGGGCGCGAGACACAGCAAAGCGCCACAGACTCAACAGCCAACGCGATGCCGATGCCGGCGCCGATAGCAGAGCGGCGTGGACCCGTCTGCTCGCCCGCCGCGGTGGAGCTGTGACCTTGTTTTCGGAGGCTCGAGTTACAGCCGAGCGGACCGCCTGTTTATTCGTCAGCGTATCTTTGAGCCGGTTATCAATCGGGGGGGAAGCTCGGCATCGGACAGAAGGTGATAGAAGAAACTCCAGTTTGTACAGTTTATTTTCCCGATACGCCGGCGTATCTCATTCCGACCAAGGTCCCAGTCTCACCCGGGCGATGCGCCTCAGACGGGCGCTGGTGGGGGACGGGGTGGAGGCGGGTCACGGGGTCACGGGTCATGGGGGGGTTACGGGCTGATGGGGTTTGGCGGTCGGTGTTGTGCGGAAGCTACGTTTTAACAAGGCGGCGTTAGCAACACGGACGTCCCGGGGAGGTGAAACACGAGCGGCCACACACAGTTAGGACGACACACAGAAGCGACATGCTAGTGGAGCTAAAAGGGGCAAAGGATCTCCTCCCAGATGAGCTTAGTGATGAGAAGCGCGACACTCAGGTGCAGGTAGGTGGAGAAGGCGGAGCTGACATACGCGCCGTGAATAGTTTTGTCGCGGTTTTTCTTTCGTTTTCTCTTTTGGCCTTTAGCTTTGCCTTTCCGGGACTTTCTGCAAGAGAAAGTCAACAACGCAGAGATGCCTGAGAGACTGAAGAGAGACGGGTTGTGTTTTTAGAAGGTGCAACACTGATAAATGTTCATCTTCTTCAACGATCAGACACCCAAGACAGCGTATTCCTCCACACGATTACTTTGCGGTGATTGGCGGGTTCGGGACGATAACTCGTATCGCCGTGTTACGAACGAGGCCGTCAGGCCGTGTTCCCACGAGTGTTCGTGATACGCGGGAATGTTTTTCGCTGAGGGCTGATTTTGAATTGAAAGATTGCAGCACGAAAACAAACAAACAAAAGAAACCTTTTGTTTGAGCTCCTGAAATGAACCAAAATGTCCTTTTGGAACGAATGAGCGCGAGCCGAGCCGCGGGGTTAAAGACACAGCCGGCGTTCAGCCCTTTGAACGGGGTTTACCCGCATTCTGTAGCCACACAATGCGAAGAATATCAAATGTTCCCTGAAGGAAACGGCTTAATTGCCCAACTTGAATAAACTTGTAAAAGAGTCCAACGTCTCTGCAGTGTGTGCAAAAGATTAATAGCTTGGAGCTCGGTTGGCTGTTATGAAATCTCCCAGAGGGCGATGAACTCGGACGTCACCAAAAGTGCATCTGTGAAGCTTTTCTGGGTCAAATCTTTCTGGCGGATTCAACTGGTTTCTGAGCACAACGCGAGCGAGCCCTTCAAGCACCTGGAGGCCGGATTAATCAGGATGCGAGGTCAAAGGCCACCATGGTTCCAGCCACACAGAAAGCCTTCGTAGTACTTTTGTAAAAATGTTTCTTACGTCTGTGGTATTGGAGGCAATTGTACATTAGCTCATCATGCTTGACTCTCAGGACGGGGGGATAGTGGACTAAAAACCCGCTTTATCACCGTGATTAGTTTCCGGCCCAAACTGGGGATCAGTTACGGTGTGTTGAGGATTATGTGCTCAACGCATTGTAGAATCAGGCCTTGTACAGTAAGACCACCACGACTTTTCTCAGATTTCTCTGCGGTTTTCCAGCAGCGGGCTGCGTAGTTTAAAGTCTGCGGGAACATTGGATTTAGACGCCGTATACGATTTGAAACAGGCAAAAAGAAGCCGGCCACCAGACAAAAGGTAGAAGGAAAAGGAGAAATGCTGTACTTTGCCTCAGAGAAGCAGTTACACATTTACAAACGTTACATGATGAAGTTCAGCAGATATTCCTGTTCATCGTCTTAGCGTAGCGTGTTAGCATGATAACATTGGCTTAAAAGCATCAAACACAACGTGCAGCTGAGCGCCGACGCGAAGCGACAACATTTGACCAACCGATGGCGGCGTGTGTGAGGGGACCAGAACGCGTTTAACCAATCCGATGACAATCCGTCCGATGGCGCTCAGACCCAGCAGGAGATAAATACGACAACGTCCAATGAGGACACGGTGAAACTCCCTCTTTCCTGCTGTGTCCCTGTGGACGTGGACAGTTACACAACCACAGCAGGAACGCCCCCCCCCCCCCCCCCCCCCAGCGACCCGCCGCTTCTGAGAGGTCAGGGGTCGGCGTTGAGATGAAACGTGGAAGCGGGAAAGCATCGGAAACGAGAGTTGAACGACCCGAGGGGCCGCACGCCGCTGACGTGGGACTCGTAAACAATGGAGACAAGGTTAAAGAGGAGGCCCCAAGACGAGTGCTTATCTATATGACGGACGACTTGACACGACCCGAGCACAAGCAGCAGCGCCCCCGCGCAGCGGGGAGGTAGTAACGGCCGCGAGCAGGAGAAGAAATTAAGAGTTTTAGTGCCCCCCCTTGACCCCTGAACCATAAACAGAAAGCTTTAACCGGTCTTCAAAAAACCCTTATCTGTTCCCCAGCAACCCGTCACAGGAGTTAAGTGGGACGTAAAGACGAGGTGGGGACGCCTGTGAGGAAGGAGGACGGGTAGGAAGTCAGGTGTCGGTCATTGACCCGGTTAGAGTCCGCAGGTATTCCCCGTCTGTCACCTGAGCGCTGCCCGCTAACTTCGTCCATACCTTTTAATGGCGCTTTGTCGCTGCGCCGCGAGGGACAACGTGGCGAGGTCCAAATGGAGGGCGAGTGAGAAAACAACACAACGAGGGTCGGTTGGGCGGGAAGGAGCGCGGGGAGAAACAGAAAACCCAACGTCCGTGCACAGAGAGCTGTACTCACTTGTCTTTCTGTTCTGCCGCTTCTTTCTTTAACCTGAAAGGCAGAAACCAACAGGACGTTAGATCACAGCGCGGAAACAGACACTCATCAGGGTCACCAGAGGCCCGACGTTCGGACAGAACTTCCCCCTCGGGCGCTCACTTAGGTTCGGGGGGGGGGGCAGCGTACGAAGCGGGACCGCTGGCAGCTTCGGTTCACTTCTCGTCCACGTGACGGCGGCTTGCGATAACAGAATGTGGAGCAATAAACCCGACAGCGCTCTCTGAGGACGCCCGATTGGCCCGAAAGTGTTGGGAAAGTGTGTTTGTGTCAAAGAGGTCACGGACGCGCGGCCAAGTTTCTATTTGAAATGAGGGCTGCAGCACAAAGTGTGCGCGCGTCCTGATGCTTGTACGTACACAGCTAAACTTTGAGAAACGCGTCGTGCCGAGGAGCTGAACCCGAGACGTGTCTGTGGATTGTGTCTCTTTATTTAATCTTTGAACGAGCCGCAGACCAGAGTCGCTCATCTCGCTGGCGTTTTAAACAAAAGTTATCGGAAGTTTGAATCACAAAGTGTTCTTGCCACCACGCACAACAATGTGGTTGTTTCCGTTTTGTCGTTATGTATCGTACGCTATCTGTGTGTGTTGAACCTCCTCAGTGGACCCGGGGACCCGAGTGTTTGCAGCGCCGGCTCTTGTTTTGTCTCTGCTTGGCTGTTTGTACGAAGCTGACGTGCACTTGACATTTGACTTCGTCGCCTCCTCGGCCGTGACGCCGACGCGCTTCTATCTCAACGGATTTGATCTGTTTAAATAAAGGTCGAATAAAAATAAATGATTTCCGTTGTTAGTGGGAGAGTCTGCCGTTCCCAAGCTGGGACGGCCTCGCTGCGCCCGGGGGACTCCGGGGACATTTTGTGGGGGACTTGGTCTGTTTATGGTGTCCAGTAACTACACGTTTCCGGAAAAATAGAGCAAAGAAAACCATCTTAAACTGAAAAATCCACCGCAGCCTCTAAAACTGTGTGAAGGAGCCCTGAAGGTTTACTGCTGCGTCTGAATTAAATCACTGCACCGCGTCATGGCAGACGGCAGCGAGTTCGCAGTGACTTTCCTTTATGGCCGCGGGCTCCGCAGCGCGACGCGCCGATTCACACGTAACAGCTGTGGAAAGAGAAAGTTTGGTGCTCGGCCAACAGGCCTCCAACGCTTGTTTGCTTTGGACATTTCCCTTAAGCGCGGGAGGACGATGATGCACGTCCTGCGCCCGTGCTGCTGTGTCTCAGCTCTCAGAGGCCTCGGGCCCCACGGCGAGGGAACGTGACGCTAATGTTTGACCTGATTAGTGACGCGATCCTGCAGGGAAAATTACACGAAAAAATGAAATAATTACTTTGTTTCTCCACATGTATCACTTGTGGGAAACCAGCTGATTCTGCCGCCACGCCAGCATATTGTACGAGAACAAAACGCCGCTAACTCCACTGAGGGCGTTTCATTAGCTGCCGATCGCGCCTACGCAGATCCGGGAGCGACCTCGACGTGCCAAATAGGAAACGATCACACTAACGTAGCTCCTTTGCTGGAGAAATCCGACGGAATGAGGATAAAGTGAAGCGACACGGGATGCGCTCCGACACGCTCTTATCGTTTGCGGATCAGGGAAGTCAAAGGAGCAAAGATGTGAATCCGCCCGTTGAACGTGTCAGGGGCCAAAAGACGAGACGGTGTCTCTCCGCTCTGCCACGTGGACGTACGGCGATTAGAACTGCATGCGCTGTGTGCGTGTCTCTGTTTGAGTCGGTGGGTTTCTTACCTACACTCACATGCGCTGTGCTCTGTGAAACTCATGAGAAAATCATTTTGTTGCCTTTGGGGTTTTATTCTTTTAATCTGTAAAAGGAAAAAGAAGAGAAATTGTTAAAGTTTGGAGTGAAATATGCAGCGATGTACAGTGTTAAACGTCTCGGGGGTCAGATCTGATCAGACGGTTCTACATTCTCCTTCCCCTGGTAATTTGGTGGGAAAATGTCTTAATGCACTTGAGTTCACAAGACAGGTGAGAGTTTAAGGGTTGGGGTCAGCAGGGGGTTTCACATAAAGAGAGACTCCGGCGCTCCCCATGTGAAAAGGTAACAAACAACAACAACAACATGGACCCACGAAGCATCGCACTGGTAGCAAACACGGCCTCTGACCTCCATCGTCACGTTGTAGCTGGACGTCGGCACGCACTGCATCATCTCATCGCTGCAGCAGCCGGCGCAGCGCGTCAACACCACGCAGGACGGGATGAAGATGTGCTCCACCTCCTCCGGGTACTCCTGCAGAATCTCCACCAGCAGCTCTCGGGGCTGACACAGGCTCTTGTTGTACACCTCCATCAATGGGATCGCTGGGGAGAGGCCGAGTCACAGAGTTATGAAACGGCAGCTTCGACAGCGCAGCGCCGTCACAATAACACGCGTCTAAAAGCAGCCGTGAATCACAAAACACTCACAGTGGGGGGGTGAAACACACACAGACATGCACACGCACGTTTCACTTTCCATTCTTTCATTGAGGAAACAGCTGCTAATGGAGATGCATCTGCTTTTACACACAAACTCTATTTCAATCTGCTTTCCCGTCTACTAAACTGCTTTTACAGCTCTGATGCGATTCGCAATACCAGCAGCGGGCTGCTGACCCCCTCCAGCCTCCCAGAAGTCTTTGCAGGAGTTCTGCTCTTGACAAAGATATGAGCACACCTCCAAAACCTAAAACCACGCCAGCCCCCCCCCTCCTCCCTACAGGACGCCAAACCAAATATACTGCGCCTGAACAATTTCATGAAGTTCAGCTTCTGATTGTCCAAATCCGATTGGGCAACGCTGGGATTGTGCAAAAAGACGCTGTGGGCCAAGAGGGTAAAATTCCGTTCTATAAAGGGTTTGGTCACCGTAACATTTCCCCAGTTTAACCTCAAACAACAAGGAGAACGTCCAACAGTTGGGGTTTAAGGGTGGAACTGAAGTGATTTACTAAAAAGGGGGAGGAGGGGGAGGAGGAGGGGGGGGGTCTGGACAGGGTCAGGCTACACAGATGCCCGCTAGGAGGCGATCATTTCCCTTTAATGTAAGATGGATTCTATGTGGCTGCGTGCCAGGCGGGGGGGCCGTTTTCCCACAGTGCCCCGTGGGACACCTACCGTCATGTGGACCTCGTTCTGTTCCCCTCGGTATGTGGGCGCTCTGCAAGCAGGGGACAAGAGAGAAATGCTGTTAGTTGCGCAACGCCTCGTGCCCTTCGCTTATCCACAGTTGCGCAAAAAAAACCAATGTATTTGCGTTGTGACAATTCTATCGAGCGTCGTCATCATGTGGAAACCACGTCCCGCGTTGGAACTCACTACACGCGATAGAGGTGACATCAGAATGGTCACGCGGATGAAATCAATATTAACTCTGGTCCTTCGCCACATCTGGATTGAAACTAATAAATAGGTTTGAACATTCTGAAATATTCTGCGTGAGAACCTTTGTTTCATCAAAGACAAAGCTGGTTCTCTCACAACCTGCTGTGCTGCTACATTCGTGCTTCTGTGACGCAAACTTTGAATAACTGGTGGTTTTTGTTACCAAACCTCCGCCGCCTCTTGGCAACTGTCACCATTAAAGCCGGTGAGGATTCAGCCTGCTGCTCCCCGCGGGGGGGCGCGTGGGGGGGGGGGGGGGGGGGGGCACTTTCCCCACACCAGCCGACCGCAGAGCAGCATTTTGCGAACTCTCGCTCACTCGTACGTGCACACACACACACACACACACACACACACACACACACACACACACCACACACGGCCGCGCAACGATCGCAATATCGCGCCAATATTGCGTAAGACGCGATCCTGTAGCGCCGACGCGCATTCAGCCAAACTTTCTTTGGCCATTCTATAGGAGAGGCTTTATTTGGGGGCTGAATGGTCGGGCTGTGTGGGTGCCGCAGGCTCCACCTCTTTTTGGTGGCGTGAGCCGGTTCAATGTAGGCTGGGGGACCCCATCCTGAACCCCCCCCCCCCCTCCTACATACTGTAGAATTAATGGCGTCAAGCTGCGGAACACCGGCCCCTAAACCGATGATAGGCGACTCTCCGAGGGGCCATTCGGCCTCGATTGTGGGTCCAACTTTTAGTAAAATCCCCCAGTCGGATAAATAAACACTTCATTGGACTTTGATGAAATAGATGTTTGAGGGAGGAACTGAAACACCTTCGTTACGTGGTTCTTAAGAAAATCATCTTTTAAACTGAAAAAAACTAAACTAGAATAAAAAACTACGACCTCCTATTGAGGTGGTGTATACTGCCCCACCCCCCCTTCTCCCTCCACACACACACACACACACACACACACACACACACACACAAACACACACACACACACACACACACACACACACACACACACACGCAGGAAACCTTTGCTCAAAGCCTCCGTGGACGCGCTGCGCTTGATCAATGATTACGGGTAACGATTTACAGCCGTTACAATTGTCCCGTGGAGCGGGTGCGTCCGTGAAGCAGCTGCGCGTCCTGTCGCGTCCACCGCCCGGGTCACAAGTAGGGTTCGTGCCGCTTGACGCGCAGGCGATCGGCGCCCCGGTGCCAGGAATGAACCTGCTCACATGTCCTAATTCAGCCCGGAGCCGCTGCGCCTTTAACGCGTAATAATATCTCCAAGGTGGCTTCGGAGGAGGCCCGCGACCCCCCAGCGCCAAACGGCACGAAATCATTTAAAGAATCAACACATATGCCGCATCTACACGGGGGGGGGGGGGCACCACCTGGCAGCGTGTGTGTCCGGGTTATATATTATACGTTTATATATATTTGCGCACCGGTTCCGCGAATCCCGTTTCCACATTTCAGTTTGTTCAACCGCGTCCGGTGACCTACCGGGGAGGCAAGGACGAGCTACACGCGAACGACCGGCGGCCGCTACGCGTAAACGAATAGAGGTCAAATAATGTTCTCTCCGGCTCGCTCTCGTGACTCACCTTGACAGCTGACAGCGTCAAAAATAATAGTGTCAAACTGTCAATAAAGTTCATGTTTGAAATCCAATCCACAGGCAGGCGACGTTTTAAAATCCAAGGGGCCGAAGTGGCGATTTGTTCTGTAAGTTTATGACAACAAGTACAAGAGCAACACAAGCGGACCGGCTACAACTTCTCTAAATAAGGGGCAGGGGGTTGTAATGGCAGATCCATGGTGGTCCCGGGGTCGGAGCATACAATCCTTTGCGCATAACGTCTTCCTTCTCAACTGTTGCCGATGATTTTCAAGATATCCAGAAAAAAGAGAATCCAAGACGAAAAGCGTGCCACATTGTTCCGCAGCGGACTTTTATTTTCTTGCAGGGGAAAAACGATCCACATTACAAAAATAATTCCATGCTTGTTGCGCCAGCCTTCTCCGAGCGTCTGTCCATTGGGAGCTGGTGAGCTTCTCCTATGTGCAACTTGAGCATTGGCCGCTGTGACGCTCTGCGCGGGGGGAGAAAAAAAGAGAAAAGAGGAGAACACGGCGTTGATACTCGTCAATCAGCAAAGTTGTCACTTCGCCTCCCCCCCCCCCCCCCCCGCCCCCCACCTCCTCCTTTTAAGCCTCTGTCACTGCGCACTTAGACCCACCGCGTCCACCTCTGTGCCGCGCGCTCTGTGGCGCGATGCCTGCTGGTTGGCTGCTGGACACGGCGGGGGCGTGTCCTTCTCGCTCCGTTCGGCGTGGTTTGACTTGTTATAATAACGCGGGGATCATAGAAAGTCCGCTGTTTTATTGTGTATTTATTCTTTATTTACGTCTCCACGCGTCGCTTCACAAGCTCAACGGGAAGAGACGCGACCTGGTGTGTTGGTTTATTGTCATAGTTAAACACTCGTATACAAACCTCGTGGTGAGGAGAAGGGACGCGCGCGCTGCCGACTGCGTGACCTTGGACGAGCAAAAAAAATAAAAGAGAAATAAAATAAAAATAAATAAAAATCCCCCCGCGAGGATCGCTGTGAACTTGTAACGCAGGCGCGCGGGACGCGGTGTGGCCGGACACGTAGCCCGAACGTCCCTGTGCGTGCGCCGATCAACGTCTCGCCGGATCACGTGGACGGAAAGTAAGATTCGGATGTGCGCGCGTGTGTTCCTCCCCCCCCTCCGTCGCGCGGTGACACGCCGGTGACGCGGAAGGAGCCACCTGACTTCTGGCCCGGAATGTGCGCGCCGCGACAGCTGGAGACACGGTGACGACCGACGCGGGAGGGTCTCCGCCGCCGCGCGCTGCCCACGCGGCTGATGAAGACGATGATGAAGGCGGTGATGCTGATGGAGACGGTGACGGAGATTGTGGTACCGAGCAGCTCACGGGGAGGGATGGGGGGGTGTTTATGCACAAAGTACCGGGACGTGTATGTAGTTACCACGCGGCCCGTCGGGGCTTTATTATTGATTCTTTAACACGTAGCAGCTGGTTGACGCGGGGCTAATTTTAACTGCCAGCTGGTTCAAAACCTTCCTCCCCAATTCCTGCAGGGTCTTCAGGGTTCAGACTCATGCAGACCACCGTGTCCCACATGCATGAGGCTGCAGGATCCATTATACCACAAACACTGAACCAAAATGTGTCCCTGTGCAATAAATAGTAATATTCTAAATCTGATTGAACTCAAGATTGATGCCTGACATTGAGTCAATACATTCTATGGTATAACGTTAAAATCAGAAAGGTTAACAGCAACATTCGATAAATACATGTAGTGGAATTAAATATATTGTAGCATTAAGAAGCAAACAATTTGTTTGAGGACATCAAAAGTGGACTTGGAATAATCTCCACTTTCCACCACATCAACATCTTTAGTTGATTTGGCTCCGAAGGGAAAAGTGGTTCTTCCCATCGGCTTGTTGTTGGTTCAAAGCCTGAAGCTGTTTTTGGTTTCAGTTCTCTCCCACGGCCAAAGGTTTACCAAAGTAAAACAACGGCACGTTGGTTCAAGGGCTGATCTAGATTACGCTTCAACCAACAACTGGTTATGTAACATTAACTCCACCAGTGATGTTCAACATCTTTACACCGTGTTCAATGTCGCTCTTTCCCAACCACGCGAATGCGATTCTCTTTGTGTTGTTGTTGTTTCTTTCCCATTTCTAGATAATATATTGTGTACTTCTGACTGGGGCCCCACACAGCAGTGACGCCCTCTGCTGGTCCAACGGGCCCCTGCAGGACCGCAGCTACGTTCCTCCGGCTCGCTGACAGATTGATGGACACCGAGGAAATGGAAGGAGCCGAGGAGTAACGTAAGGACGCGGGTCGGCAGCTACGTGGCCACGACTCGCACCCACAGGAGGGAACGACGGAGGAGGAAGAAAAGAGACAATGGGACTTCAGAGGGGAGCGAATGGAGGCATGATGGAGCAGGAAAGCAGAGAGGCGACACACAAGGAGGAAGAGATGGAATCGCCCGCCGTGTAACCGGAGCAGCGCTGAGGGGAGTCCCTCGCCGCCGTACCCGTCCGCGTTTAATTGAAGAATAACACTTGGGTTCATTACCGGTATCGCCGAGCTCCCGTTTCTGCTGACTCAGACTGTGAGTGAGTGTGTGTGTGTGTGTGTGTGTGTGTGTGTGTGGTGACAGTGAATACGGTGCGCGGCTCAGCGCGTGCATCCCAGTTTGTGCTGACTATGCACACACACACACACACACCGGCTCTTAATGAAGCGCTCCTTCCTTAAATCTACGACAAACAGCCTCCCTGCGGGATTCCTGCCTGTCCAACAGCAGAGCAGCAGCCGTTTCAGAGGACGCCGTCTCCGCCGTAACCATCTGAGACAAGCGCATTGTTGTCGTCTTCGGACTCCTTCACAATAAAAGCCACAGCGGTTCCACCTGTTGAAGGCTTTTAATGTGAACTTAACACAGTGCAGCGAGGCCTGCAGAGGGACGGCGGACCTCACGCGTTATAACCAGCTATAACAAGTCATTATTTAAAGGGGCATTCTAGCTATTTAAAACTTTTACTTCTGAGCTTTTGTTATAACTGCTGTACATTCCGAATAATTCTATTCCGTACTTTGGCTTTGACAGCGGACCACATGTTAGGATTCCTTACACACAGATAACAACTATTACAAACACTTTTTTGGCGTCCAAAAGGGACCGATAAACTATTCTGTAAATATTCCAAACGTTTATCTAACATATAAACGCCACATATAAAGATTCTTTCTAACTTCTTTTATATAATCACAGCTTTGTTACACTCAAAGAAACACAGAGTACCTCAACTTTTGACTTCTTCATCATGCAGAACCGGCGCTCATGTGAGTGAGAGTTTGCTCGGATGAAAGTCACATTGTTTGAATGTATAAAGTAGCAGAATCATTCCATGAAAGGCCGACTGCCTCACTCCTTTATCACCTGGCACCAAATCACACATTCTTCCCTTTGCTCCTTTCCGCCTACGCCCTCTCTGCAAGAAGTGAGTCTTTGCTTCTTGCCGCCTGTTTCTGAGAAGCGTGAGCTGAGCCCGTGTGTGTGCGTGTGTGTGTGTGTGTGTGTGTGTGTGTGTGTGTGTGTGTGATGAAGGGAGTGGTTTGCACAGCAAGGTGCTTCTGACCGGCTTATCTGAGTTGGCTTCATCAGCAATCTTACATATATTATCCAGTAATCAACCTTCAACTGAGTGCCCAGATAATGTTATGATAACATTCACTTTTTACCACCGCGTGACCGCGCTGCACACGCGTGTGTGTGTGTGTGCATTTACACATCCTAAGGAGGAGCTCGTGTTTTGGACCCCGTTGCACACGAGCAACACGTGTGCGTCTCTCAGACGAAGCGCTGAAGCAGAAGTCGTTCCATCGCCGTCCGACGCGGCGCAGACGACTTCCCTCGCCCCTGATAGCGGAGGAATGAATCATGAGCCAATCGGCGCTGCGACCGTTGACCCTGCCCAGCTGTGAGGCGCGTGCCGTGCGGAGGCAGCACACGTCCAGCCGACCTTCGTTGCCCTTCCCGCCTCCCTCCTCCTCCGCGTCGCCTCCTCGACGGGCAGATAAGTGCAACGCTTTCACGCGGGGGGCAAGATCACGCTGGACGTTCTTTAACGAGCACGAAAGATGGTTCTTTTCTCAGGAAGGGGGATGTTCCGCCCTTCATCACTTCTCTCCCTCCCTCCTCTTTATCTCCTTTGACCAGTTCCAGTAAGCGAGCTGGTTTTTTGTGCGGTTCAAAGAGTTCATAAGCCTCTTTGGTCAGCGGAGAAGAAAAATGAAAGGGAAATCGCCAGAGTGAGAGAGAAGCATTCATTGTACTTTAACCCGACCAAAGGCTAGTCCCGTCAACATCGATCACTCTAATACGCAGGGACCGTCCACGAGGGACCGCATGTCCACCAAGTATAGATCTCAGAGGCGAGAAGAAGAAGATTAGCAGGTCCGTCTTCACGAGGGATAAAAGGCATCTGTGACTACTTACATACATGTTGATCTCATTTTATTTAACAGTCTGTGGATGATTTCAGACCATTTTACAATTATTTCTGTTCATGCAGCACAAGAAAAGCACTGAGGCGGAATTGAAAACACAGATACTATGTTGTTACCACATAATACACCCACTTTAAATAAAATACATTGCTTGTCTGACCACCAGAGTTCTTTTGCAAAGCCACATCACTGCAGCCGGTACGAGGGAGCAAAGCTCTGCCTTTACCTGCCCGACTGCTGACCCGAGGCGCCGATAACCTGCGTCTTTACAACGGGATCCGTATTATAAAGTGACTGCTTCATACGTGTAGAGGTTCCTCACAGTGACCTTAAGGAGGGAAGGCGCTTGGGCCGGTAGGAGATAGGACACCAAGTCTCCGCTGAGTTTACAGCCTAATCTCATTGTTTAACATCTTCCATGATGTTTGTCTCACTCTGTCTAAATAGTCCCACGGGACGGAAAATTCCTAATCCGGAATACAAAGTGAGACCTCTTCCAATCCTAAATGTTCGAGCCGCTGAATGAATGGAATTTGACCTGAAGATTTCAGAACTTTCATCTCCTGTGGGAACATCTCCCAGGTGTGTTTGGGAACTCTGTTAATTTAATTTTCCTTGAGCACACAGCGTCCTTATCTGTGAGGGCTTTTCACCGCGAGCCTGTCACAACTCTCCCGTCCCGACCACACAGGAATCCTTACAAACACAAGCACAAACGCAAACACCAGCAAACAAACAAATCGTAAACCACCACCACTGACCCCTGAGCTCAGGTTCTGACCTCGGGTTAATGCATTGTGCAGCTGAGATGGATGCAACCTGAATACACCCGGGCCACAAATCTCTACATTTTGCGGATTACAGACAACAAAGTGTTACCGGATACTTGTCACAATGGTTAAAGGAAGAAGGGGATACTTTTGATTAGTTGTCTTTGTGTCTCTGAGGAGGACAGGTGTGGACAAAAGTCCTCTATCAAATGCCTCGTCCTGAAAGGACTCGGTCTCAGAGGATGAATTGTTGTAACTTCTGGCTCCATCATTAGTTCAACTTCTCCTTCAAAACTATTGACATTCCCATCAGCCTCAGCTTTGCTTTAGGAAGCGTTAGCATGCTAACGTGCTAAGTTTAAATGGGGAACATTGAACCCGCTTAGCATTGTTGGCACCGTCAGTGAGAACACGTTAGCGCGCCGTCCTTGAGCTGAAAGCACAGAATAGCTGCAGGCGATTTGAATCTCGCTTTCTTCCTTCCTTCTATTTTATTTTTTTACGGCTACGGTTTTGCGACGCATCCATTACCTGCTGTCATTGTTTTTACCAGCAGCCACAGTCCTCAAACACAACCTGGCATCCGATGTGTCCATGACACAACAAAGGTGAGGACCAGCTGCCCGGAGGGAGGAAAACCACCACAACAGCAACAGTGTATTCGTCCTTATTTCAGCCGAACTTTAACTGGCTTTTGTTTGATCCGTTTCATTCAGGACTCGGCTACAAATCCCTCTTGTTGCCCTTCAGCGTGCCTCTTACATAATGATTGACATACAGAAAGAGGGAAGGAGCTGGTGTTTTTCCATGCAGTCACGGTCCTGTGCGCGGTTTGTGTATCACAACCTCGATCAGCTTGTAATGGCACCTTCAGTCGGATTCTGTGACTATAAAAAGTCTCTGTTCTGTGAGCCGTCGCACTCAATGAACCATAAGTGTTTACTCCTCTGGCATCAAAAAGAGCCGTACCCATAAAATGCAACACGGTCCACAATTGCATCATGAACCACGTGACACATGAACCGGCTCTGTAAACGTCGGTGTTGTGATGCTCCACCCAAAGCACTTGGAGACACTTTTGTTGCTTGTTAACCAATTGTGGGTTTAATGTCGCATTAACGTGAGGGTGAAACGTGTTTACACTAGTGATTTAAACAGGCGTGTGTGTGTGTTTAAGCATGGAAATTACCACGCAAGGGAAAAGAGGCAGGTAGACTACACCCCCCCCCGCCGGGAGAAAAGCTATTCATTGCATTCCTGAGCACAAGAGTGTGAGATTAAATACACACACATCCAGCATAAGGACACACACACACACAGAAACACACTTACATACAGAAACACACACACACACAATGGGCCCCAATCCAACTTCCCAGTTCAAAGGGCACGAACAGCATCGAGCCGCAGTCAGACAGCAGCTCTGCCGCCCAGCAGGAGGTCCGGTCCAATGGGCCCGTGTGTGTCGTTTGATGGGGAGAAACCTGCCCGTCAGTCAGCAACTCCGACGAGGACAACGGGAAACGATGTTTCCCGAGAAGGAAAGAGGCCTCAGTGAGACTTCGCTCCCCTTTGGATCTGACTGCGGTGCGATCCGAGGGGGAGGCGCCGACAGGCACGGACTGGTGTGGTGGGTTTCTGGCCGTGGGAGGATTTGCACACTCAAACTTGCACGCACACGCACACTTCCTCCTTAGTAAGCATGAACAAGCTTTATTGAGAAGTTAAGCAGAGCGAGATTTCCAGTCATGGTCATGCAGGAATGCTTCCTCGAAGAGAAGCATCCGGATGTTATTAAAAAACTGTAAAAGAGATCATGCCTATTGTATGTAACAAATCTACATGGCTTTTAGTGAAAGGCATTCAATGACAAAGTGCACGAGAAGATCGGTTTGACGTTTCTAACGACTTCCTGAGAGTCGGTCAAAAAGCAAAACGCTGCCAAAGAATTCCTCCTTTCTGCGTCAATCAAACGGCGGGAAACCCACAATTTAAGTTATTATTCAGAAAAGGAGCCTCGTCCAGCTTCTTTGAAACTGCAATTTTTTCCTTAAACATATGAGACGAACTCGGTTCAAAGGGACACAAACATGAAATGAAATAATTGTGAAATAGTTGTGAGTGTAAGTTTGTCTTCTCCAGAAGCTGGACGTCATGTCTGACGCGGAGGTGTGAGTAACTAACATACCGTAATGTGTGCGTCAGGGGTAACAACAAGTCAGAAAAACTCCAGAAAATATTAAATGACTGTAGTACAACTAAGGAAATCTGATTAGCCAAATATAAAAGCTTCTTTTAGTACAAAGTTTATACCGATTCTGCAAAATCCTTCCTCCAAAACAAATAGTAATTCCCCCCAAAGACACATCAGCAATATTGTGTTAGCTAATCTAATTAAAACTAATTTCATTTACCAACATCTGCAGATTCCCCCTGAGCGGAGTGAGTATGAAAGATGATTTAATGACTAATTGCTGGAAAGGGACACGAGACACAGATCCTGGGAGAGGACAATAAACAGAACGTGAAACCTTTGGGCTGAAACGTCGAAGAGATCCTTGTCTTCCAGCTCACAAACAAAACAAAACCCTTTTCCATCACTGTGACCTCGCTAATCAACCTTCTGGACGTCTTTGACCTACTTGTGAGGCGCAGAGATGAAAGGTTGCAAACGTGGGCCCGACGTGTTTCGGCCCTCTTCGTGTCAGAGGTCGGGATCCCCTAAAGAAACGTGTTGAATGGGGCAAACGCCCGCTGAGTGGGGCGACTAAAGAAACATCACCCCTCACACCTCCCCGGTGCCCCGAGGGGGAAACGTCTTGTTTCGGGGTTTCAAAGAAGAAAAAACAAGTCAAAGTGAAGATTTATTTTTCTGTTTCACGTCACTAGTTTCATTGATGTACTTTGATGTGTACGTTGTTCTATGTTTAATTTGGCAAAGTTTCACAAATTCTATGCTGACCTCCAATGGAAAGATCAAGCTAAGACAAACACGCACTTAAATGCGTTTGATGAGGCAGATGTTTAAAATGAAGGGCTTCGGTTTAGTCTATCGAGGAGATAAAACGCCCACAATTTGAGGACGTGTGGTTGAGAACGGAGGAACTTTGCGCTGCGAGCGTGCGCGTATCCGCTTCCAGGTGGCTAAATCCTGCTTTGTTTGCGCGGCCTGTTTTGTGTGACTGTCCACGGGCTGGTTGTGAAACCCAACACTCACTGGGGGGGGCGGCGGGGGGCTTTTCCCTAAACTCTGGCTGGATTCCTTAACGAGGTGCAGAGTCCCACTAGGTGGGCCTGCGCGCTGGGCAGTCGGCAGAACCCGACACTGCCCAGCGCCACTCAGAATTTACTCGCAGAAATTAAGACGCCGTGTTTTTCCAGGGCAGGATGCTCGGGTTTTTTCTTTTAACGCGTAGATGTAAATCAAACGGGGAAAAGGTGGAGCGGATCAGACACAGTCGGCCCCTGTTCTTCAGGGAGCGTTATTTATGTGGACGAGGTGAGGGATCAAGTCGAGGTTATTTGGGGGCTGATTTTTGGTGTTGACAAGAAGCGTTGACACTCGGCGTAAATCTGGACCTCAGAATCACGGCATCTCAGGGTGCGGTTTGCGTGGTTCCCCGGCTGACGACGTGCTGACCGATTGACGAGGTGGAAGGTGTGTTTTCATCGGCGCAACGGTAGCGACGCGCTAACGTCACGCGCTCCTGACTTGTCTCCTAAACATTACATTTTCCCTAATTCTAGATCTCCATTTGACATTTCTGCCTCTCCGCATCTCACGTCTCATCCACACTCCATTCACCGCCCCCCCCCCCACCGGCACCGCGTCACCTCTGGCCTTTCACTCCTCTCGCTCACCGTCTCCACAAATGAAATATATCACCGCTGTCTATCAGTCAAGCACACCTATTTTTCTCTCTCCGTGTCCCTGTTAAATCACAGAATGTCCCCCGTTTGTCCATCTGGCTGCCAGACATTAAAACGATATATGAACTCATGTCCCCCCCCGAGGCTCGCGGCTGTAAATCTGAGCGAGCTGCTAACTGTCTTATCTGCTGTGTACGTTGGCCGTCTCTGGTTTGCCCAGGCGGAGATTTAACGAGGACACAGACACCGTCGCTTGCCCTGTGTGGTCCGCCGGCGGAACTTAACGATATAACACGGCGCTCAATAAACCTGGGGGGGCCACGCGATCAGCTAGCCGCGGCGCCCGGGAGACATGCTAACCGCACGCGCTAACTGGTTTGTGCTAACGCTGTGACGCACGAGTCAGAGAAAACTGGAGCGGAGGAAAATCTATTTACTCATTCTGCATGTGCTTGTGTTACAAGCTGCAACGTGCAATGAGGAAAGATTGGTTGAATATTTCAGGCGTGTTTGCTCGTC